ATACTGGGAATATTATTGACTTTGAAACTTTATCTCAGTTTTGTAGAAAATGTAATTCAAAGACGAAACAACAAAATGTGAAATTGCAGTGTAATCATCATAAAGGATCTTCCTCCAGCATGGAACCGGTTGGGGCTTATCGTATTTTTGAGAGGTCGGAAGATCATAGAATGTTACGATACACTGACTATTATGGGGATGGGGATTCCAAAGCTTTTGATGCCGTGAAGGACATTTATGGGAAAAATTCTGCTACGAAGCTAGAATGTATAGGGCATATTCAAAAAAGAGTTGGAACAAGGCTTCGAAAATTGAAAAGCAGAAATAAAGGACTCGGGGGGAAAGGTAAATTAACTGATGGTTTAATTAATAAGTTACAAAATTACTATGGGATTGCTATTCGAAGCAATATTGGGAATTTGGAAAAAATGCAGTCTGCTGTTATTGCTGCCTTTTTTCATTGTTGCTCATCAAAACATCAGCCAAAACATGGACAGTGCCCTGTCGGAGATGAAAGTTGGTGTAAATTTCAACGGGCTAAAGCTTCAAATATTGTGTACCAGGATAAATCTTTGGGTCTGCCACAAAATATTGTTAATACGATAAAGCCTGTTTATATGGATTTGTGTGACAGAAATCTTTTAAAAAAATGTTTACATGGAAAAACTCAGAATCCGAACGAAAGTTTTAATGCAATTTTGTGGCAGATATTACCAAAAGAAGTTTTCGTTGAGCATCAAACATTGCGTTTAGGAGCATATATTGCTGTTGTGCAGTTTAATAATGGCTTTCAGGGATTAATATCCATATTAAATGAAATGGGTATTGTTTCGGGGTATTATACTATACGGGTACAAAAAATCTTCGATAATGAGCGTATTGCAGACTCAAAACGTCACTCACTGCCAACAGCAAAAACCTGCAGAAGAAAACTTAGGGCCATTCGAAAAAAAAGAAACATAAAAATTGAGGAAGAAGAAGGAATTACCTATAAAACTGGAGAATTTTAAGTTGTTTTTTTAATATTTACTTTATATAACTTATAAGTATATTTTTTAAATGTGTTTTTTGAAAAATGATATTTTCACGATAATTTTTGCACGAAAACTGGGATATCTCCAGAACAATTATATAAAATTTAATGAAATTTGCAACACTTATGTTATAAGCCCTTGAGAGTGTAGCAAACCGCAGTTTTTAAGATATTTACAATTGATAACATTTTATAGTCCTTTTTAGCATAGAATAAAGAGTAATTTTGACGAAAAATCATTAACGTGAAGTTCGAATGCTTATTAAATATTTATTTTTGAAAATATTTTTTAACCTGCGGTTTGCGACACTTCAGGTGGATAAATAAATGTATCAATGCAATTAAAATTACATTATGTCCAATATATATATATTTTACGCTGTTTTTCCTGAAATTGAAATTTTTTTAAAAATTTTATTAAAATATTTTTTTTTTCAGAAACAGAGGTGATGCATGGTATTTATTTCATAATTATAACTCTTTAGGCCTATTTATGTTCTTTAAAATAATAAAATTCTTCTGATAATCAATTTTGAAAAAATTAGTCTTCGAACCTAGTCGGGTGTTTTAATTGTTCACAGTTTCTACAGGTTTAAGCACTTCGAAATGGACGATTCCATGAATATGCCACCGAATACACAAAAACGCTTTTTTGGATGTAAACCTGGCTTAGCAGTCCTTCGCGGCGGTTCATTTCAAAAGAGTCACTGTCTTTTGCGTTTTGGATTATCATACAGGACCCATTTTTCATCTGCAGTGATCAAGCGATCAAAAAACGGTTCTGTATTGTACCGCTGAAGCAATAAGTTGCATGTCGTAGATCGGTTAGCTCTGTTTTCTTTCAACAGATTATGTGGAACCCAAATACCTACTATGTTTGTTTTATCAATGTGTTGCAAAAGCTCTTGGATGGTCGACCGAGGTTGGTTATAAGAGCATTTAACAGTTCTTCTATTGTCAGACACGGATTTGCTTTCAATTGTACCCTTAATAACGTCATTGTCTAAAGTTGTTGGTCTTCCTGATCGATGTGAGTCGGAAAGATAGAAATTACCGGATCTGAACTTAGAAAACCACCTTTGGTATTTATGAACATCTATAAAGCACTTCGGTAAACATCGCAAATGTTTTTGGTAGCAACTCTTGCATTACTACCCTTGTGAAACTCCAAAATCATGCAATGGCGTATATGAATCTCCTCTGGTATTTGGCTAGCCATTTCACTAAAAATGGGGAAAGGAAATTTAAAGTTTAGGTTTTTACAAGTAAACAAGATACTTTAACTTTGAATTGTCTCTGGCATGACTTTCAACTACGCAATGAACTCATAAACTGTAAAGCTACATTGACATGCCAAAAACGATAGTACTTTTCGGTCAACTTAATATATCCACTTGATTTATAATTTAATAATTACACAACGAGAGAGTATTTATAAAAGCAAAAAATGGACATAATTAATATTTCAAAACACAAACATTTAATTTAAAATTTCATAATTATCCATTTAAATATTTCCTAAGTTTTACACAAAAAAATGTAAAATTTTGATTGAGTTTGAAAACATAATACAGGAAAATTACAGTCTTTGTATAGAAAAAATAGTATTTTATAATTCATTCTATATACAAAACGGATTTTGAAGGAAATGTACTTGAATCACATAGTTACATGATATTTGTTTATAACTTTAATCAATTTTCTAGTGTTCTATTTATCGTGTCCTCATAAATAATGCCTCTATGGATGCATCAAAGCTCCCTTTATTTTTTAAATGTAAAATTAAAAAAATGCAAAATTTGAAGACGTTTCACCTCCCAGTTACCTTAAAAATTTCTTAAATGAAGAAATAAATTTAATAATAAATCCATGTCTGTGAGGTTTCGTTAAGTTTTTCTATCTTTCTATAATTTTTTTTATATTTTTTTCCCTTAAATATTGGTATATACGATAAAGAAATCATTTACATCTTTTACTGTGTTGTAGTAACATGGTTAAATAACTCAGATTTACGAATAAAAGGCTTTTCAAATCAAAGCGTCTTATTGTGGCCCTAAAACGTTCATGCTAGTAACGATATGATTTCTTACGCTACCCAGAACGTCACATCAACGCTTTTGGACAGCGAACAATTCGAAACGATAATCGTCGCTTGGGGAAATTTCTCCCAGTTAAAGCAATTTTGAAATGATCGACATTTACAACACTGCAATTCGACTTAACAATTAACACACGTGAGGAAAAATTGACATACGGTGGCACGAACGTAGATTTAAATATTTGTCAATGATCATATTGGCAATTTGTGATCCCGTCATATGCCGAAAAGGTAATACTGGCGAATTCGTTGTTATGGCCCGTCCATCAAATAATCGCCTTATCTATCCACTCTTGTGAATCTTAAGTAGACAATTTTGACGTTGTAATTAAGAAAGTCAGTGTTTCTGAAACTATGGGGCAAACTCCACTAGAAGTGGGGTGATATCCCTACGTGCAGGGCACAAACATAGCGCAAAGTAGAAAATAAAAAATCTTTTTAAAGAACTATTAGTCTACTGAGAGGAAGCAAAACAAAATACTTTATGAACGATGAAAAAAAAGCAACATAATACTTATCATATTACTTCAAGCTGACTTAAAATATTTATTACTTAAAAGCAACGTAAGCAAAACTTAATACTTATGTTAATAATTTGTATGGTTTAAAATTAAGGCCGTGCATTGTAGCTTTAGCATGAAATCACATTATTATTGCATTCAATGCATTGTTTGTTGTATGAACTGGGGGTGCGGTGAAAATTATGGTTAAAAGTTGGGTCACCAATATTGAAAGATTGAGAAGCACTGGAGGAAGCCATTTACATTCTCCAGCATTATTTCACTGCCACACACTGCTTCAATCAATTTTTTTTTTGATTTACTCATCCAACTTCTTTCAGTCAGAATGCACGACATCTTTTTAACTACAGCGTGCCTACAATAAATAGAATTTCTTCAGGTAGGTATTTCTACACGAGGAAACATCCCAACCCATATACTATATACCTTGATCGTCAATATAATCTTACTAATATAGAGCTCAGTATAAACCTAAAAAAATTATTGATTTTTTATAAAAACAGGGATAATTAGGATTTATTCAACAGTTTTAATGATATTAATGGTTGCACCATACAACCCTAAAGAAATGTTTCGAGCTTTGTGGATAAAGGAGAAAAAAGCGACTAATGAACAATCCTAAAGACTTTCCAATAGGGAAAAAAAACTGCTTGATCAAAAATTGATTAAATTAGTTCTTTAAGAAATTCCTTAGAAACACACAGATTCCTTTAAGTTTCTTTGACTATAAAAATAAAAAAATAATAAATATTGCATATTCCCTTTTTCTATTATTAAAAATATGTAGATACAAAAATTGATAGTGGATTTATTAGATGAGATTTGAACACTTGTGCAATACGATATTTCATGTAACCTTGAGTAAAAGTTAGTTTTTCATAAATTAACATTTAATAAAGAATAAAATGAAACATTTGGGTGGAAATATGTGCGTTATAATTCTGTCTAAATTTATTGATGTCTTTGTAAAAAGGGAAAATTGATTTTTTGAAAATATAACCAATTTTAGACGTTAAGTATTCGTTAATATAATAAAATAGCTATGCGTCTTGTAATTGCCAGACTATCTTGTCAACTTTAATTGGTTGCTGTTATCTTATGTGAAAGTTTTGACGAAGACTGGTTATCCCAAATTATTATGATAATAACAAGATACTATAATTTTGTATTTATATTTTTGAAGTTATACTTTTTTGGAGCGTTAGAGAAATAGGATGAAGGATAATTTTTATGATGGGCGCGCACACCGTCAAGGGTGCGAACATGCTTTGTCTAGAAATATACAGAACGTTACAGATCCTTGCCGCCTTCAATATTCTAAGAAAAATATTTCTCTTCATTTCCCTGAAGAGGAAACCAGGGTTTGAGCCGGAGACGTCTCGATCAGCAGTCGAATGCTCGACCACTGAGCTATATCCCCGCGTCAGTTAGCATTTGCTTTGCGTTCCATAGGATACGAAAATGCTTTGATTAAATATTATTAGAGTGGGACAGATTATTCCCGCCTTCGAAATTCTCAAAATCATTTCTCTTCACTTACATGAAGAAAGGGACACCTTGATTTGAACCAGGAAACTCTGCCGACTAGCAGTTGAATGCTCGACCACAGAGCTATACCCTCCGTGTCTGCGACCATTTGATTTGTGACGTCACTACCAGTAGAGATATATTGTCCTTCGCCTACGGAGCTGCTTTCATGCATTTGTGTTTGAACACTTTTTGTTATTTAACCAAACATAATTACAGGAAATAAAAAAATAGTAATTTAATCTTTAAAATGTGTTTCATGTACTTTAAACATAAGAGTAAATATTAGCTTACCTATTTAAATAACAATTGCAAGTATATGATCATAGATGTACACTGCTGGCCACCATAAACGCAATGCCCTGAAGGAAGCATGCAAATAACATGAAGTTTACAACATGCATTAGCGGAGGTGGGATATGTAAATGATTAGAATTTCAGGGCAGACACACATCACGCGCATCTGCGGCGCTTCCTCAAAGCGCTATTTAAGGCTTGGAGATTTCGAAGATTTCAAGTTTATCAATTGAGTTTTTCTTGTGTTGTTTTTTCAAAAAACGCGATGAGTTACCTCTCTTATAGAAAACAGTGATCAGCTTTTGATCAACTATCCGAGTTCGACAGAGAAATTATAAGTGGCATACCGAGATTGTGGATTATCTTTCAGGAAAATCGGTAGTCGTATTGGACGAAACCAGAGAACTATGTAACCGTTGGATGATGGAAGGTACGACGGACCGACGTGGTTGATCGCATCTACCTCAGTGTACCACTTCCCGTGAGGACAGGCAAATTGTGAACATGACAGTGACGGATTGCACAGTCACATTCCGAACCGTAGCACAACACATTGAGTCTGTAATGCACCATTGAGTGTCTGCGCGTACCATTCGACACCGTTTAAAGCAGAGTGGTCTGTCCGCAAGACGTCCATTGCTTGGTCTACCTTTGACTCAGAACCCCAGACGTCTCCGCCGTCAATGGCGCGATAAAAGAAGGATGTGAGCGGGAGAATGGAACGAAGTTGTCTTCACTGACAAGTCACGCATCTGTCTGCAACACGACGATGGTCAGATTCGAGTTTGGAGACACCGTGGAGAGAGGATGCTGAACAGCTGCGTTATGCACCGCCACACTGGTACTGCACCGGGTATCATGGTATTGGGCGGTAATGGATATCACTCTCACACGCCTCTAGTACGCATTACCGGTACTTTAAATAGCCAGTGTTACATTTTCGAGGTGTTGGAGCCAGTTGTCCTTCCTTACCTTCAGGGCTCGACCACAGTCATATTTTCACAGGATAATGCGTGACCACATGTGGCACGCATTGTCCAAAGTTTCTTCCGCTGTAACCAGATTGAATTGCTTTCCTGGCCGACTCGCTCTCCGGATCTTTAACCGATAGAAAACATGTGGTCCATGGTTGCTCAACGATTGACCCACATTACACTCCTATCTGCCACACCAGATCAACTTTGGCAACGTGTGGAAGTTGCTTAGTCTGCTGAACCCCAAGAACACATCCAAAGTCTCTTTGAATCAATGCAGAGACTTTTGACAGCGATGATCTCCAACAATGTCGGCTACTTTGGCTACTGATTCTGGCAGGAACCAAACTTCACAGAAGTCTATAAATTTAATCATTTGATACTTGGTCATCATATTATCTGCAAAATAAATTTTGTTGCGCTATCTCTTGTCTTTTCTGGTGTTGCATTTACGGTGGCCAGCAGTCTATTTACTACGGACGCATTGCGTTTAACATAAACACATTTATTACATTGTAGTAAATTATAAGATAAAGTTTTATACCTATATATATTTTTGAAGTTATCCTTATTTCTGAGCGTTAGGAAAAAACGATGAGGATAAATTTTTACGATGCGAGCGCACACCGTCACTAATGCGTGCGCATACCTTCACGGCACCGATGCGAGCACGCACACCGTTGTGTAATGTTTTAACATGCCACATTTTTGGTGCTATGGGCTGATATCTGGGGGATCGTAATAACTATTGTTATAAACCATATCTGTTGGGGCGCATACCCCCTCTACAGCTTTTTGGCCAATATCTCGGCACCCAAGCATCACAGTCCATTAGGACTGAACCAAGTGTTCCACTCGTCAAGACCAATCCAGTCATCTGCTTCATTCCCATTGTGTAGGCATGGGGAGGGCTTTTGCATTAAAATATGATGCTCCCTCGTTAATCCTATGAGGACTGGAAAAATTTTACCCCCTAAGCAATTGAGCTTAGAACTTGATTTTTGGAGGTTCGCTATATTTTCGTATTAGCGCGATTTTTACGTGGAATTGGCTCCCTCCCCCCTACAGGGCTTCCCCAGAAATAACTCGAATCTTATGGCACCTTGTTCGACCGCACCGGCTGGATTCGATTGTACTTCCTATGAGCATCCTAGATATATTTTTTCAGGACCATAGCCCCATTTATTTACCTATATTTAACATTTTAAAATTATTTTAAATAATAATTTTTTATAAAATCCTGCATAGTTCCGAGGAGTTTTGAGATTCGTTAATGAAACTCGGACTATATGTTCTCCTTGTTGAGCTGTTTCATCTGTTATAATTTGAGTGTAGCTAGTGGGCTTAGGGGGGCGTTATCACTAAAATTATAATCCCCATGTTTTTCCTATGGGGTTCGATCTTTTAATGACGTAACGATATTACAGAGATAGAAGGATGGAACTTTGGGATCACCTAGTACTCTGTGTATCGTTGGGATATACGTGACAATTTACGTCACAGTTGTCCCTCCCGAGAAGTTAGTTTCGTTTTCCTTTCCCGAGCTAGCACCGACCCATTTGCAACTACAGACTCCGGACCGTTTCTAATGGATTCCTCTTGTGTTTGATCACAACCAAGCCCAGTTTCGAGTGGCTGGCTGTCCTGCTTCTATTTTATTTAGTTGTTTTAAATTCTTTAATTATTTTAAAATGGCCATAACCTGGGGGCTCTTCAGGCAGATGCCTTATTTTTTTAGGAACGATTCTTCCTGCCTTGACATTCAATATGAGGTTTCAGATGTCTCTTTCGGCTCACTTCATCTCCAGATACAGTCTGATTCCCCCATGTTATTGATCCTATTGTCCCTGTGCGGGGGTGTTTAAATTTATTTAAATCGTGATATCTCAGGTTTGGCTGATCCAATTGACTGAAGGTTAGCATCGTTCAACTCTGCTCGTGACCGTCTTTTGCCCTTGACCCAGCTTGCCCTACTAAATATTTTTAGAAATATTTTAATCTTGTTATGCTAAAGAAGTATAACTTCTTACGAGCGTACATAAGTACACACACACTTTTTTTATACTGAACTTCATTTTTCAAAATATCATTTTCACTTTTAAATTTTCATTTTAAGAGTTAATTTACTCTTGTATTGATACTCTTTTTTCTTAGAATACCTACAATGTATATTTTTTTTTTATTTGTGAAATATATTTATAAATAACAGAAATAAAATGTATTTTTTAGCTTTTACTCTTAGTGTTAATAACCTTAATTAGATTTACTCTTCGAAATGAGATATTTATACTGAAAATTAATAAGTAGTCAATCACAACAGTTGATTTTCGCAGATTAAGCATAGTGTGTAAGCATAGGAATTTTGATGATTTCTAATTACTTGAAATATTTTTTCTTCAACTTGAAAAATATTAATGTTTCTTTTACAGTTTTAGAAATTATTTAATTTGCCTTAGGAATAGAGCTTAATGATACTTTTGCCTTTATAATTTGCAAAGTTATTTAGTCATATTTTTTAATTCTTGAGTTTTTAATACGCACTGTTTCAGCATTGTTGTTTTGGGTTAACACTGGAAGCAGAAATAGTATTGAAATTAACATAATACTTCATATTTTTCTGGAGCTGGTAGAAAAATGAGGTTAACAGTTTTGAAAAACTTAACGGAACCTAAACTTTATATTATAATAATAAAATAACAAATAATATATATATATATATATATATATATATATATATATATTGCATATATATATATATATATATTATATATATATATTGCATATATATATATTGCATATATATATATTGCATATATATATATTGCATATATATATAGTGTATATATATATATATATATATATATATATATATATATATATTGAGGTTATTTCTTTATTAAATTCATAAATTGAAAGACGTTCCTCATTTATAAGCATCGAAATAGTTTTATGAAGTTATGTGTAATAACTTTATTACTTTCTTAATTACTTCTCAAATCAATCAACTACTACACATAATTTATCTTGATTAACACATTTCTCTTGATTAAATACAATATAAATAACAATAACAATCAAACTACAATGTCCGCCGTGTTAACACACTCTCAAGAAACTCTATTCTGTTCTTTTACACCAGACCACGCCTGCACGTGGATCTCACCGAAATCAATTTCCTTCTGCCCAACAACAGTTTCGCACTTCCCGCCTCCCAAAACTTTAAGGACTATCTCTCTTCCCTGACCGTACTCTACAGGGTCAAAAAACCCTCTCCTCCAAAACACATGAACCCTTCCAAAATCGCGCAGATTTGCGCCAACATCCCATAATCGTCACCAAAAGTAGTCTCAGACACTACATTATATATTCATAAAATATTCAGTATTTTATCAACTAACCAATATATATATATATATATATATATATATACATTTCAATCCACACAATACGACTTTGTTTACATATTACGTTAACAAATGAATTAAAAATCTTGCAAATAATCGATTAAGGTCACTGCCTACCTTGAAAATGTCGTTTTTCAACTACATATAAGGCATTTTTTTTAAATTTCAAAATCTTATAGTTTGAACATTTTTCTTTCTCCTTTTGGGGAAATAGAAGT